AAAAGAGACTAAGAGTGTTTTATATAAGTAACTTGATTCTTTATTTTTGTGTGGTGTAACGTGTGGTAAGAAGGATGCATCCTAGTCGATCGGCGTCGAGTCATGCTTGGGACGTAACAACCCCCCATTACGTCAACTCGAGTACGGGTTCGATAGAGGCAAGCGACCACTCGTACCCCCTATTCTACAACATACAAGAAAACGCTCTCGACTGGGCCACCTCTGCGATTGCAACTGAGTAGCTTTCACACATGGTTCGGTAGCTCGACGGGGATACGCCCGGTCAAGGGTGGTGACAACCACTTGGGCAGACGTAAGTTGTACCTGGCATGACCCTATCCTGTCGTAGGGGTTCGCGAGAGGTATGGCCGACGAACTCAGCCGGAGTGGCGAAAAGCTCCACCGCGAAGAAGTCCTACACGAATCCTGAGTAACGCGGCCGGGAGGGTCCCCCTAAGGGACCGATGTGCTCGACACTACGATATTTATTCAGAGTTTCACGAGTGTTATTCAGGTATATTGTCATTAAAAGTTTATGGGTCAGATATAAAAAGGGAATAGGCGCGATTTTTGTGTGAAATTGGGTTTTATTTTGGAGAGGTGTATCATGTGGTTAAATAGACCGTCGTAGTCGACGTTGAACTGTGCTTGGGACATCAGCCCCCAAAGCGTTGGTTCTGAGCGGGTCCGATTAACCTCGCGTACCCCCTATGCTACAATATACGAGAAACACCCTCGACTGGGCCACCTCTGCGATTGCAACTGAGCAGCTTCCGTACATGGTTCGGTAGATCGGCGGGGATACAGTTGTCCAAGGGTGGTGACAACCCCTTGGGCAGAGTTAAGTTGTGCTTCGCGTGACCCCTATCCTGTCGTAGGGCTTCACGAGCGGTGTCGCAGGCGCACTCGGCCAGAGCGACGAAAGTTCCACTGCGACAAAGTCCTGGAAAAATCCCGCGTGACGTGGTCAGGAGGGTCCCCCTGTAGGACCGATGCGCACGATAATGTGACGCAAACCATCAGAAGCATTATACGTTTCCCCCTGTAGGACCGATGCATCTGTCAAGGAGTAACGAAACTTTCAGCTGGAAAACTTCCTTCTTTAAGGAAATAAAGGTCAAGTCCGAGTGTCACATGAAGAGCAATCCTCTATGATTGGCAATGAAAGGTAGTCCGAAGCTCAAATAAGACAGGTGGAGTCGTCTGGTTCAAAGTCACATAGTCTCTAAAGAAACAACTAACATTTGTGAATGAACAAGAGAACATGCGACTGTCACCCTGACTCTGGTTTGCTATTGCAGAAGTATAGCCTATAATATAGTAGCAGTTGCATTCAATAGGTAACATTCGGGTCTCTGTTTTTCTATATCAACTTTTGTGTTATTTTTGTACTATTTATCTGGATGAGTACCTTTCCAGCACGAAAACATGGAACGGTGGATCCTGTGGCGGACCCGCCAGGTGAGGTGCTCCGCCGGATATAAATTAAGATGGAGGATGAGGGTGGAGCAAGATGGCACAACGCAGCTCCCACTCATACTCCAACGCACGTATTCTGAACTGTGCGAATGTAGAATGATCCAAGTACAGACTCTGGTTGGGGTACACCCCAACGGACTGACTGGACTGGATTGGAGTGACTCCTACCGACAAAGGTATCGACCTGAACTGGCCTACCCCGAATACAACACAGGCCTGTGGGAACAGGCCAAGGGGCTGGTCTCACAGGCCAGCCAGAGGTCCGCTACACGTTCCTCGGCCTGTGATGGATCGCCTAGATACGAGCACGCTTCCGCCAAGAAGCGGAACTCTACCAAAGAAAAGAAAACCCGAGTAATCGAGGATGTGGAGCAAGCTCGATGCTGAGTCCATGCGATGCAACCTAGGCTAGAAAATGTCACAAAAGTAGCAATGTCACAGCTAACAGCCTAAATGAAAGCAGAAAGCAACTAACTAGTATATATGTCCTAGGAAAACAGAAGGTAATGACAACTAAATCCTAGAGTGTTGGAGGCAGTAAGCTCAGTCTAGAAACAAATTACTAGTGTACAAGTCCTAAGAACAACAAAAGCAAGAACAACTAAATCTTATGAATGTTAGAGGCAGTAGCCTAAGTCTGAGAGCAACAAAGCAACAACAAGACAACCATATGTCACAAGAGAAGTGTGTCGCAAACCACAGGGAAACACATGTCGTCGACTAAATGAGGGTAGGGAACTGGGAGCGAACAGAACCAATGACCCTAACAGATAGACCATCAGGGCAGGTGATGCTCGACAAAAGGGGTGACCATTATGTAGGGTCGATCATGCAAGGGAATAAGGGAGCCTGATATACTGGGCGCACCTAGATGAAGCATGCACGATTGCCTAACTAGGGCGGGAGGGCCGACAGAGGGTAGAAAAAGTGATGGGTACGGGAATCATGCAAACGATTCCTAAAGTCAGGGAAGTCGGAGCTAGATCCGTAAGTTGGGAAGCCAGGGCAACGCTACGGTCTTGATGCCTATGCGTATACCAAGGCAGAGCCCAACTCCGAGGAACCCGACGAAGGGAGACCATCATGCGACACAACCACGGTACTGTACAGGGTAAGGTGGTAAGAGAGTGATGACGTATGAAGTAGGCAGAGCTGATCGTGACGAAGGTCGTAAAGCTGCCGATGACGTCCATGATGAGAAGTCCAGAATATCGTTGAGGAAGAGCCACAACGTCGACGAGCTGAAGTGGCAAAATTGAAGTAGATAGAGTATTTAGAACTAAAAAATGTGAGAAGATAAGTTAGAGTCCATCATCGTATCGTGCAGGACGACGACGGGTGCGTTGTGGACGCTCAGAAGCATCCAGCTCCTGCTGAAGGTCTACCTCAGATGGAGTAGGCTCGACTTCAGTGGTCTCCTCAACCGAGGGAGAAGGAAGAGGGTCAGTGGGCTGAGGGAGAGAAGGTTAACAACAGTTGTATTTTTCATCACCACTTCATGACACCCTTCACCACTTCAGGATAAAGCCTCCCTAAACAAGTGGTTTTCAGGGTCTTCGGACCTTTCACTACTTTAGAACACGCTTCACCACTTTAGGATGCAAACTGCCTAAACATGTGCTTTTCAGGGTTTTCAGACCTTTCACCACTTCAGAACCATTTAGGATTTTCAGATTGCCCAAAACTCGCACTTCACCACTTAAGGATGTTGTCGAGCGCATCGGCCCCCGCGCGAGCGAGGACCCTCCCGGCCGCATCACGCAGGAGAAACTTAGGCTTTCAACTTTTTAGAGACAACTCGGGGACGACACGGTAACCCGCGTCGACCCTTCGCCGCTCCGGCCGAGTGCGTCAGCTGTACATCCCGCGGTCCCCTACGACAGGGCAGGTTCTCGCGGGGCACAACTTACCTTCCCTAAGGGGCTGTCACCACCCTTAGGGGCATATCCCTACCGAGCTACCGACCCACATGCAAAAGCTTTTATAATGCAATTGCAGAGGTAGGCCGACCGAGGGCGTGTGCTCGTTCGCTGTAGCATAGATACACATGGTTAAACGCCAAGTGGGCCCGAACGCCGCCCGTCCCTGGGGCGCTGATCTCCCAGGAATCGGAACGACGTCGGTCGACTAGGACGTGATATTCCAAGCGTAAGAAAACCTCAACCAATCCTAGTCCCTTCTTCCAAAGACAATCAAAAGTTGAACATCAAAAGAAGACTCAGGTCAACGTAAGTTGAATAACCTTCTAAAATCATCCTACATACAATATAATCATGCATACCACTCGCTTCAATCTAATCGACAAAGGTTGACTTGACTTCCATCCAACGACAAGACAACATGAGTTGACTCGTCTTCGAACCTCACTTATCAACAATCGAATAAAAAAAGGGCATGACTTACATGCGTAGCGATGCTTGAATGACGTCTGACCAAAATATCTTCACGCTGCCTGCCAAATGGATGAACTGTCACGACTTTTCCGACTCGATGAGATGCGTTGCCAAGTTTTTTCATCCTGCCCCATACTGACTGCTAGCGAGGAATATGAGTGCCCCGACTCTCAAGCAGAGTTAGAGTGTCATCGTTTTAATGATGACTTCACTACTTCTTTAACTTTGGTGTGAATGCCATCTGCAAATAACTCGGCTACCACCTATACAAATCAGCGACCAGCTCGAACAATCGGACGCTCGATGCCCCATTAAGGTCAGGGATCCACCTTCAAACTTTGTCAGTCGCTCTGTCCTCCTGGACAATAATTACTCTTTCTGTTCCAAAGTACCACCTTTCCACATGAAGATATTAACAGCAATACTCTATTTACATCTTCCCGTCAACTAGTCTGATCACCTTAGGTTTGCACTTCTTATGGTGCAACCCTATCCGCGAAGATGGCGCGTAGTCGCACTCCGTCCATAGCTAGTGAAAACACGAACTGGGCTTCTTATGGCGTCAGTTCTCCACTCGTCTGTGGCTCCTAAGACGGCCACAAAGGGTAAACTATGACGGTCCTCCTTAACGTAAGCCGACAATGACTTAACGTCTTCCGTGAATAGCRCATGTCCATCCCCTAGGAGGTGGTATGGGATACCCCTCGTCCTCGCCCGMGTGAACCTAGGATCTCAGAAGTCGGGCCGGCTCCGCCACAAYAGCATGGTATCCCCCCRCAGTGCGGTSCACTCCGAGTCCATCACWKGGCCGGCCCCTAAGGCAACGAACCCCCGCCTCAGATGCCTCCTAGGGAAAGGAAACGCCTCTACCACAGCAGACGATCAACCCCTTGCCGCCTGACGTCAAGGTGAGCCTAGACAAAGAAGAAGATCACAGAGAAGAAAAACATTCAGACAGACGGGCATAGACAAAGGTGGTCATTCGGGAAAGAATGGGTAACATCTGGAACGAGTCCATGTCCGATTAAGTTTTTTTTTTTTTTTTTGTGAGTGTGATCGTTCCTTTTATCGTCGTTAACTGATTTTCTCTCTTGTGACAAACATGCAAACAAGAGATAGAAGACAAACACCCTGTCCCCATTTTCATTGACATGGCCAATCTCGTTTTCAAGCTTTCTTCTACCTACCTGCACATCAAATCAAACAACAAGTTCAAAGGAAAACAATGCAATTCGCACTCACGTCAGACTTTCATTCACATACGCAAACACACATCTTCTCTTCCTATCCAGTGAACATTCAAAGAATAGGGCCAAGCAAGTGTGGGTTCAGACAGGTGTGAAGGGGTCTGAGTCAAACAACTGACCGTGAGTGAAGTTGAAGAGACGGCCCACTCAAGAAGACCGTGTAAAATCACACTCCAGAGGAGACAATCGTCACAACAAGTCGCCCTCAAAACGATCTACACTACTTTCTAGTACGGTCGCTTGCCGCGACACCATCTCAACACACAACCACCTCCCAGTAATCTGACGGCGTCTCARCGTCTCTGCCACCAACCGCACCACCACGCCGTTGCCGACAATACCAGAACATGCTGCCACAAAATGCCCCTCACAGTCTAAGCGTTTYCACGTCACCACCTAGAACGTGCTGCTGCCGCCGCAAAAGTTCARCAGCACGTYCGCGTCGCTGCCAGAAAAAACACCGTCGACGCCGGAAGATTTCGACAGCACCTCCGCGTCACCACCAAAATCTCAGCGATGCCGCTGCAAAAAATTGGCAGCGCTTCCACGTCACTACCTAGAACGCACTGCCGCTGCCGCAAAAAAAAAAAACCGGCAGCGCTTCCGCATCACCGTCAAGAAGCATCGCTGTTGCTGTGCCAAACAGGAAGAGTTTCCCCTGCACCGCTTGTTGACGACTCGCCGCCGCCGTGCAAGACGACCAGAGTTTCCCCTGCGCCCCACCAGCTGCAGCGACAGCTATGACTGCCCTCCCTCTCATGCTCCCTGCAGACCTTCAACGCTTCCCTTTCTCTTCACCTTGCTGAGATGGCGTTCCACAACTATGGCCACAACTATGGCCACAACTATGGCCACCTCCAGCAGTTCTCTTCCTCCCTCGCCTGCAGACCTCCTCTTCAACCAGCARCAGTTCCCCCTCCTCTCACTAGCAGCTCCTCCCAGCAGCAGCAAGCCAGCATTCACTCAAGTGAATTGCTAGCAGCACCAGCCACAAATGATTGCTGGCTAGCTGCTTGCTGGCTGCTTTTATAGTTGTGGGAGGTAGTGGTAGCAGCCTGAGCTCTCAGCCAAAAATTCGAGCTCAGACTGGGCCTTTGATCTCTTGGTGAGATCAAGGGCACATACCAGCCCCACACAGCAGAAATGGCCAGGTCCACTCATAAAGAAAAGGACCTGGCCATTTTCCTGCTGTAAAACCAGCAAGGGGGGGCTGTATCTAGCCACAACCCTTGTTGGTCTGCTACTGCTGAGGTTCAATCTCAACAGTGCACCTTGTCCTAGACCTGGCCAAGTTCAGAGCCAGGCTCTTAGCCGGTTTGCTGCACAAGGTGCAGCAAACCACTTGGGAACATGGCCCGGACAGCGGCCAGGTTCAAGCAAAAATTAAGAAAGGTGCCCTCTTTCTCTCTTCAACCCTGTCCATATTCGGTGCAAGCCCCCTTGCTAGTTTGCTGCACCAAGTGCAGCAAACCGTTTGGGAACCTGGCCCCGACTGTGGCCAGGTACGTTATTTCTTTTATTTTTGCTGCTGCTCTAGCAGCCTCGTTTTGCCTTAGTCCCCCCCCTTCTTCTTTTCTCTTCTTCTTTTCTTTTCTCCCCTGCCCTCCCTTGAAAATGGGGATGGCAGTTGTCAGATTGGGAGAGGTAGGGAAAGAACTCGTGAAAATTCACGAGTTCAAATCCCG